AAGGAACTTTTTAATGTTGATTCTGGCGCCCCCTGTGGACAAAAGCGGTAGTGTTTCACCCTGTTTCATTGATTTCAAGGGGAATCCGAGCCAGTGGCAGACATTAGGAATAAAACAGCTAATCTTCTCACTGATGGTCTTATGTAGATCATAAAGAGGCATCAATACACTTGAAAACTTTGGATAAGATATAGCCTAAAGTAAAAAAAAATTACACCACCACCTACTGGCTTGGCATGCATACTACAACGTTTTTTCAATCATTTTTGTTTATCTGTGTGCAGGAGGCTTTTTTTCACATGTTTATATGAATGCAGAACTTTTTTAAAATGCAAAGGTAAAATGTTATCTGACTGTTTTGTACCAGTTAAAACTCCTTGTAGTGTTTAACAAGGTAATAGTATGCCACTTTTGTGTTCACAGCTTGTTCAGATCAGTGGCCAACAAAACAATATATAAATTATATAATATTTGAATGCAGCAAAACTTTATTTCAGTTTCACTGTGAAGTCCAGGCTTTTATTGTGAAGGGGCGGCGGCTCAGCCCCCCGGTGCCCGGCGGTGGTGCTGTGCGGCGCTGTTGACGCAGCTGGGGCCGGTGAGTGTGAAGCGCTGACAGGACGCTGGTGGAGAGCAGCCGTCGGCGCACAGAGCTCAGTGAAGTGTGTCTGCAGCAGCGAGCATAACACTGGATTACCATCACACACAGGTAAGCATGTTCCTGCTCCGGATCACTGCTGCATGAGGCTGCTGCTCTTTACTGTAATCTGGAGGGTTTTAATGTTATTATTATTAATCCATGCCCATATTTCACCCCCCACATTAACAGCTGACTTTGTGTTCCTCCCGTATGGTGCAAAGCCTTGTGCCAGTTTAATGTATTTCTTATTAATCACTTCATTAAGTGTGAATTCAGCAGACTTGTTTAAACATAAGAGCTTTTTTTGTGAGTCATTTTTTGGGTTTTGCCCCTCAGCAGGGAGGCTCTCTGGCTTTGGGACAGTTACTGCAGTGAAGACTGATCCATACAGTGGAAATGCGACCCGCCATGGGTGCCGCACTCTGAGGCTGAAATGCCCCAAGAGGAAACCCAAATACTCTGGGAATTAAACCCTTCCTCACTTAATGAATACTGCCTGCTATCATTTAAAGAAAAGAAGGAAGAAAAAAAGAGTAATTAATCCCTGTAGTGTGGTTGTTTCTTTAAGTTGGCAGGTAGCAGTGAGGCTTATTAGCGGTTGTCATTGTGAGTCATACAGAGCAGACTACAGGCTACTCCACATGCATACAATAAGGCTGTGACATCAGGACCCTGCACTTAATGGAATGCACATTATGCGGCATGGAGGTGTTGGGAATAGTTTATTGGATAGTATTTCTCTGTCAGTTTTAGCACAATGTTGTCAGGTTGGACTGCAGCCTTTTGCCATCTTTGATTGGATGACTGTGGAGGTGAGGATGAGGAGTTAGATGCAGGGGGGAGAAGTAGTCCATGAGTTCAGTGCTGCTTTCTAAAGTATTAATGTCAGTTTACAGCAATATTTCAGTACATTTTCTGTGTGCACAGTAGTAATGGTGTAAGTTATTGACACAGTGGACTTGGATGTTGAACTTTGACAAACAGGTCTGCCTGAGGCGTCATAATGAACTGCATGTGACATGAACAAATGCACAAGTGTGGAGTATATAGACACACATGCTAATCAAATATACTCACCTCTTGGTTTGCGTGTAAGTCCTGCACAGCACTGTCACTGCTTTCTGACAGTTTCAACTGTTTGGCGAAGGAAGAAATATGAAATGTGGATTTTAAAAAATGCAGAATAGAGCTGATAATTGTGCTAATTTTGAGCTAAATTCTTACCACAAGTAAGTATCCCAAAATGTCCCTTTAACATATCTCTGAATCTCAAATGCCAGCAGAAAAAGAAAATAAATCTTCACCTTCACTGCAGAATTAGTCACTATAAATGTAATTTACCTCTGAAACATAGCAGATGTGTTTTCATTCATAAGTTCACTGCTTGGTAATGATTTCTGTTTTACTCCCAAGGGCTCTGAGTAACATGACACTAAACAGCTTGATAAAATATTAACCCCAACACAAATAATTAATCAAACTGCTTCGAGGACGGAGGCAAAGCTGTCGGACTGATTTTCTTAAAAGTAACGGTGTCGGTGCTTTTTTAGAGTTTTACACTCTATCACATTTAATAGAGATACTGTATCTACACACTGTTTACTCAGAAATACCAGGACCATTAGCTCTCAATGTGTGAAAGGACTTGGGTATGTGCAACCAAGCCCCAGAGAGATATTGTTATGATTAAACTGAACTTGTCATTAAGTGAAACAGGATTTTAAATATCCACTCTGCTCTCTGCTGCTGCTGCTTCTGGGTGACATATTCCTCAAGTACACAAGGAAATATTGACTCAGTAGTAGCTCGGCGGCGTATGAAGCTCTACTCCTGGTTGACATGTCAGCTGAGGAGTTGTAGATGTTTACACAGGGACAGTAGTGGGTTTGCGTGAGTAAATGGAACAGATACATCCGTCGTATGTTTGGTAGCCAGCAGCTCAGCCGTGAGCCATTTGTTCAGTCAGTCACTCAAAGGGCAGCCAAAGCCCTGTGACCTTTTGCACATACTGTTGTGCAATTAAAGCAATTCAAAGATGAAAGATGTGAAGGAGCACTCTTTTTGTCAAGAGTGAAAGGATTCAGCACATTACAATAGTATAATGTAGCTTATACAGTAGTTAATACTTGTTTGTTTTAGGTTAAGTAGCCTCAGTGTAAAACTATAAGGGATTCAGGATAGAAAGATTTGACTGTAATTTGGGGTTTTCAAGGATTTTCTCTCCGAATTATTTACGTGTTTTAATATGTCTCACCAGGATTTCAGGGTGCAAAGTGCTGCTGTACAAAGGAATATTCAAATAGAACGTGACGTCTGGCACTCGCGTTTGTTAGCCAGTAACATGTAGTTCTAGCTTTTTTCAGAGACGCAATAAAACAAGGTCAAAGTGTTGCATTTCAGTCTTTAAAGCTTGACAAACAGAAATGATAACCTGTGGAGTAAGGATGGGACCTGTTGGTATGAACCCAGCGCAGTTGTTAATATTTTATGAAGCTTGTTCAGAGTCACGTTACGCAGATCCCCTAGATTTGAGAGGAGCAACCCTCTGACACATGAATCTCAAAACTGAGTTTCAAAGATTTTTTGCAAGAGCCAGCTGGCCTCCAGATTACCCAGGCTTGTTTTTCCAAGATGATGTCTGTTTGGTTTCTGAAATCTGACACTGAATCTTAGGAAATACGAAATAGTTATTGTTTATTCGAGTTAAAATACCACAGGGGTTATGACAGCGCCATTAGAATTTGTCTTTTACCTGTTACTGAGAAGATATTGTCTTTGTAGTGTGCAGGTATACTGGGGGTCGGGACCCCCACTAGGGGTTGCCAAAGCTTCATGGGGGGGTCGTGAGGCCTTTTTGATTGTAAGGCGTGCTAGAAAGTTGACGAAATATACACAGCAAGCCTAAATTTCAGCATTTGATTTACTTCGGTGACAAAAAGAAATGTAAATTGTTTAATAGACCAATGGTCAAGTGTCAGGGACAAGAAAACACTGAATGTGTCAGAAAATAAGCCGATTAAGTCTGAATGATTGTTAAAAATGAAACAAATACATGATATAGACAGATAATTGTATAAAAAGTTCCCTAAACAGGAAATAATCTGCTCAAAATTTATCAAAATCACTCGTTTTACACAAAGTTCTTGCAGTTACTGAGTTCACTGTTTCGGTTCTTTGTACAGTTTTGAATAAAATATGAAATATTCATAAAATATATTCTCACATTCTCACTCTTACCAAATAATAGAAAAGGGGTCCATTTAAGGAAAAAGGTCTAATGTACCCATGTGTTCAGAATGAGTGTAAACTAATGATTTACTCTTATTGATTGCAGTTCTGAATGTGGTACAAACACTGGACAATAGCAGAATAAATTAATGATATTCTGTTTCTTTTATTAAGGTATATTTCTCAAAATCCCCCTTATTTATTAGTCAGAGCATGCAGACTGCTCAGTGAAGTTCGTTACGAGCATGACGTGGACTAAAAACCTCTGTAGTGACAGTATCTGCAGAAAGCAGCCTCGTCTTCACTGTGAATAACGGAGTGGGTTCGGATCAGGCCGGATGTTTCAGCCAGACACCAGGTTTCTGTTTTCACTCCATTAATGTTACAACAGGTCGCTTAGCAACCCCCTCCTCTCTCTCTCTCTGGAGATCGAGCGGGGCCCCCCATCATCCGTCCCTATTTCGGGAAAATGCCGACCCCAAGTCTGACTGCAGTCCACAACGCAGACACCAAACAATCGCACCAGGCCAGGCTCCATCAGATAAACCGCGGCCTGGGCTTCATAGGTGGGCCCAGCACAGATATCAGATTTTCACTAATTGTGTTATTATATCTTCCAGAGAGGGGTTATAAACCTGGCTATGCATCACTGTCACTTGATAATTCTGGTTTTTTGTTTATGTGACGATGAGTGGGGGGGGAGTGAGGACAACCCATGCTGGTTCTTATTAAAATATCTGCCGTGAATGCTGTTGTTTTTCGCCATCAGCTGGCTGTCCATGTAACACACACAGACAGAGCAGAGAGAGAGGAGAGAGAGAGTAGGCGTGGAGGTGTGGTTGTTGGTGCAGGAGAGGAGGCTTAAATCCGATCACTAACGCATAAATTGTCTTTTCACCTGCCTTGTTTACAATGCGTCCATGATAGGCGGAGGAAGAGGAGGGGGCCTCTTTGTGCCACGGACCCTTGAAAAGCCCCAAAGCCATAAGCAACTTCACTTCAGCCATCGGACACTTGCAGGCCAATGGCAGCCAGATGGAGAAAGCGGGCGAGGGGTTGGGAGGGTGGGGTTTGGTGGGAGAGAG